AACACAGATACGCAACATCATAGCCAGAGGAAGAGAGACAGAGAGAGAGAGAGAGAGAGAGAGAGAGAGAGAGAGAGAGAGAGAGAGAGAGGGGGGGGTCTCCTTCTCCTCCTCGATGGCAAGTCAATTTGTGACATGACAGCACGGAGCTCGTCACCGTCGTGCTGCGGATACCGGATCCGGAAGTAGTCAGCTCGACTCATAGTCATTTTGAGACCCGCCAAAATTTAAAATATAAGCATTTTAGCGGCTACTTATCGCCCCCCAGTCGCTTATTCATCCACCAGAGCTGGATAGCCGTCGTCGTACCGTCGTGGACCCGACCGTAACGACCGTAAGGACGCTCGTGTTCGGGAAGGGTTTGTGACGGCTCGGATGAACAAGCAGTCGTTATAACCCTTTTTGAAGTTGAAGAAGTTGAAGTTGAAGTCCTGCAGGGGCCTAACAGCGCCGGCGACCATGCCCCATGCCACACCGGCGGCGGGAGGCGCCATCTCGCGGGCGCGCTGTGAGGGGCCGGGCAGGCGGGGCGGCGCTACGCGGGCGCACCGTGGGGTAGGGACGGACGGCGGTGTGGGGTTCGCTCGGGGAGCAGGCGCGCCCGGCGGGCGGGCCACCCATCCGACGCGCAGCTCGGGGAAGTCCAGCCGTAGGGTGGGGTGGGGGGCGAGCGCTAGGGAGTAGGTCGGGACGGTGGGCAGGTAGAGCGCCCGGTAGGTAGGCCACCTATTCGACGCGCGCGTAGAGGTGGCTGCTGCTGCGGCGGCGAGTCGCCTGCGAGCGGGAGGGAAGTCCAGTCCAGTCGAATGCGGCGCGGCGGGCGGGCGCGGGCGCGGGCCGTGGGCCTGCTGGGTAGGAGGGCGCCCTCCAGCTGATGGAGCCTATTAGAGGGCAGGACGGCTCTGGGCGCACTTAGTGGTGCCCGCCGTCGCCGCCGCCGCCGCGACGCGCTGCTGGCTCCAGCTTTGATGGGGAATGACTCGCACAAACGCCGCCGATCCAGATCGCATCTCCCTCCAGGGGGCGTGGCGGGGCGTGGCGGGGCGTGGCGGGGCGTGGCGGGACAAGGGCGTCGCCGGCTCTTGTGCAACAGGATGGGTCCCCTCCCCAGATCAGATCGGAGATGTGCCCGTTCCGTTCGGTCCCCTCCAGCAGCAGCCTCAGCCGCCGCCACCACCACCTGCCCGCTGCTTGCTTATCTCTTTACTCCGGTATGACGGCTCCGCACCGCACCTTCACTTTCGACTCGCTGCTGTCTGTTGGCGGCGCTGACTTTCTCGCGTTCAGTTGTCATCGCACGCGGGGTGGGCTAATGAGAGTGGGTCGAGGTGAGGCTGGCGATGATAACCGCACGCCATGCGTATACGGAGCTAAGACGGTGTTGACCGGAAAACAGAAACCGAACCACCGGCATGGGCATGGCGTGACGCGAAGTGTGTCCGAGGGGCCCACCTAGCCAGCGGCCCACCCGGGGGCCCACCTGGGGGCCCGCCCGGGCCCGGGCTACTCCGGGGACACGCGCACGACGCGGGTGGCCATCGCCAGGAATGGGGGCACCCGAGAGCCTCCTAGGAGGCCCGGCCACGGCGGCCACCGAGTCACCTACGTCTACGTCAGCGGGGGGTGTTCGTGACAAAAGTTCGCGAGCCTCCCATAGGGACCGGGGCCGGCCACCGGAGTCAGCTGTGGTCACACGTCGGATGGGTTATTCGTGACAAAGCGTCGGTCCAGCCCTCCAGCCCAGCGATAGGTCTTCCGAAGCTTCTTTTCGACAGAACGACCATAGGCGAGGAGGTGAGAGGTGGAGGTTCTGTGCCGAGCGGAAGCGGATGTCACCACCGCGCCACATTTTTATTCTTTTAATTCTTTTCTTCTCCTTCCGGTTCTGTCCGTTCTCTGACGCTGAGCTCTCCAGCGGAATGCCCCTAAGGTCTCGACCGCGGTCTGCGCCGCTGCCGCCCCGCGGCCCCGGCGACGTATACTCGCAAACACAAATGAGCGGTAGAGACAGCAGCGGCCCCTGCTGGCTTCGGCGGACATGCAAATGCGACAACGACAATCGCAAACGTTTGCAAAAGAGCCTTTGTTAGGCTCTCGCCCGTCTCGGCTGGTCCCGGCCGGGACCTCGTGACCTCGCTAATTACCAAATGAAAACATTCTGCTCGGAGCACGAACGGCCGCTCGGGAGATTTCCATTTCAATGCTGCTAGCACCGATTGTACGGCCCATGTCGGCGACATGCAGCGAGAGTATGGGTGGCATTCCACAAGCCCTTGTGATGCTGCCCTGCTAGAGGCTCCCTGTAGAGAGATTTCCGTCCGGAAATTTTTCCAGAAAAAAAAAACGGAATAAATTTAACATATCAAAAAAAAAAAAAATACTTTTCAGGAAAAAAATCAAGATAAAGCGGCAAAAAAAATAAAAATGCGCTGGCTGGGAGTCGAACCCCAGACAGTTTCAGACTGGTCACCATTGAGCAACCTCAGCTGCTACAGAAGTGAAGGAGATAAAATATATATCTGCCCTAACCGGGAGTCGAACCTCGGGCGAACAGTTTGACACGAGCACGATTTAGCGCGCTCGGCCGCCCGCCCATCTTCTCCACTGTGCGTTCAAAGTCGGTTCTGTATTACGGGAGACAAGGGGCGACGCCAGTCAGCGACAGCGTAGAATGATTCGTTCCCTGGAGCGCCAGTTCGTATCCCGCCTCTATGGCTCAGTCGGTAGCGCGCTCGCTCATAGCGCGGAAGGTTGGTGGTTCGACTCTCCGTGTGTCTGAAATTTTTCTCAGGCCACCAAATTTCAAATGGACTTCAAACCCATCATTTCACCACGCCCCTCTCGTGGAGTTCCGATGGCGTAGTGGTTACCATTGTTGGTGGCACTGCGTCATAGGTGTCAATTAAGTGTCGGCTCTGGACCGGGGTTCGAGCCCAGGTGCCTGGCACCTCGCTGTGGTAGCGGGGTGCATAATAAGACCTAGAAACTGGCTGAAAAGGGCTCCATGACCTGTGGTGGGTCAGTTCGATTAACCATCGTACGCCTCAACCGTCTCACAAACCCCGGGAGTATATTCTGACCACTGCGGTTGGAAGCGGCTGTTCGGAACAGGGACCACAGTTCGCTAACTACTGCGGTGGGATGAGGAAAGTCGTCATCAACATAAGAAACAAATATACCGAGTTTCGGCAAGATCGGGAATTTACACTTGCCTAAGTCCCCTTGTCAGTGCGCTCTACTGGCCGCGAAAATGTGGTCCAGCCAGCAGCCTGTTGCGGATCCTCCCCCCGCTGCTGGTCCAGGTCCACCAGGTCGTCCTGCACGGCTGGCCCGTCACACGGCCCGTCACACGCCGTCACACGGCCCGTCACACGACAGTGCGGGACTCTTGACGCGGAATACAGTAGAACGAGCGACGGTACGCTGCATCTGTCACGTGGGCACCCGACCGCTCGGGCGACGTGAGGTGTCTCGGGCTGACACGTGTAGCATAGCGCTACGCTCGTCGCCTCCAACGCCGTTCCCTCCGCAGCCTCCCCTCTTTCTTTTCTCTTCACACGCAGCCACGTCTCTGATGGAATTTTAGGGTGAGGGATAAAGAAAAGAATCACCAGCGGCTTTTTGGTTTAAGACTCAGGTGTTTTTATTCTCTCAAAAACTTCACTGCCTCTTCACAGAGAGGCTCATGTCTATGTACATAAGAATACTGCATGTTTTCCAAGGGTTCATTTATAAATGGCACAAAAAGTAAGAAAAACAAAATAAGGAGTGGAGAAGTTCCTTAACTTATCTAGGCGTTCCTTCATAATTTAAATAAAAAACAAAACAAAAAACACAGTTAAAAAAAGAAATGGTGGTGTGTGTCATTTTAAATAATATTTCTACTGTCAATATTTTAAACAAACAACATAAAAGAATAGGTCAAATTATAATAAGCAGTGCTTTTTTTTATGAATAAACCCTTGATTACATAAAAATAACATCACATACATTTATTTACAAAAGCATACAAAGAAAATAGTTTGTACAAGCATTAACAAAACAGCAAATGCAAATTAATGTCGATTGACAAACAATATGGTAACAATTTAACTTAAAGGAACAATTAAATAGTCACAAACGAAAAACAGGATGACTTGTATAACACACCAATTTGGGAGGTCAGTCTTATAGTCTAAAACAAATTGATCTGTACAACACTTTCTCACATAATTTACTATACAATGACTTAACCGGGTTGGCACAATATAAGTTAAATTAGAATAAAGCGTTGTTGTTATGGAAAGCATTGAGTTAAGATTTCAGCTCTTCAATGAGTACCTTTAGAGGTTTTCACTGGCTTTACCCGTACACACAAATATAATGCTGCAGGTACAAAAGGGACTGATTGAAGATCACCCAAAATCATTAAGTGCCCAGCGCACCTTTCGACAATCTAATCTGCTTCTGTCAAATTTATTCAAAAAAACTAATAATGTCATTTAAATAAAAAATCATTTTGAAGCATTTGATACACAATAAAAACAAAAGGAACCTCTGCATGCTTGTACCATAAATAATTTGTCTTCATGCCACACTTTGAGAAATACAAACAATTAAAAGCTTTAGTCTCAGATCTACGAAACAAAATGTTACTGAGCGAAACATTCAACAATGCTTTAACTCTTTGGTGTGTCTTATAGGAGCAGCCAACTGACTATCATTCAGAATTCTGTTATATATCTGATGGAGACAGGCCTCCACTAGATGGTACAACCACAAGCCACAGTGTCCCTGAGGACCTGTCGCACAGTAAAACTTTAAGCACAATAAAGTTACTCAACTCCATTTCCATGGCTGCTCCTTTGTCTCAGTCCAGATAACTACCCACGAATGAGTATTAATAATAGCATTACAATGAACACAAAAAACAAAATTAAAAAGAGCTCCTTGCCAGCCAAGCCATACCATACACTTGAGCTGCTGCAGTAGCAGCCGTATATGGAGTTGCACCATCGATAAAATGAGAGTGGCAATGAAAATCGTCCTGCTGGCACTAAACAGTCGACTGGCTGCTCACAGCGCGATGCGCTACATGCATGAGATGGCGGGAGAGAGGGATAGGGGTGGGGACGGCTCACTTGGTCACAAAAACTGTCTGTCGCCTCAGCGCGGAGGTCACGGCGCAAAGGTCGTCGTCAACCGGGCGAGGTTCCTCCTGGCGACCAGGGGTTGGTCCGCGGACGGCTCCGCGTCCTGGTCGTCGCGGTGCACCTCGGCGTCGACGTCGAGCAGCCCCCGCCCCTCCTCGCGTCAGCACGGCGTCTCCGTGTTGGGCGGCGGCGGCGCGTCGCCGTTGCCGGGCGCCGCGCCCGGCGCAGTCCCGTTGCCGTTGAGCTGCAGCTTGGCCGGCGTGTTGTTGCCGTTGCTCGTCGTCGTCGTCGTGAACGACTCGGGCCCCATCGAGTTGGCGCCCTGGCTGGTGGACGACAGGTGCATGGCGCGGCGCGACGCCTCGGAGCGCGACTCGCGCAGGCACCACAGCCGCTTCACGGCCGACCACACGTGCGGCTGGCAGCCCACCACGGCGAAGATGAGCACGCCCTGCAGCAGGTTCACCAGGTCGGCGGGCAGCCACAGCGACTGCGGCCCGCCCGCCACCCACGACACCACGTCGGCCACCCACGTCACGCCCATGACCACCACCAGCTTGAGGCACACCCGGCGCAGCGTCGCCCTGCAACAACAAAATTCAAAAGAAATTACAAAAAATCCCAGGAATATCATATTTTT